GAGCTATCACTCAATTTTGCTTATGGTTTTGGTTGATTGAGTCAATCATATTCAATCTTCCTCACCTGGTGTACTGATGAGTGTTGAACACCTGCTGTTTCAGCTTTATCTGACTTCCTGCTGTGTTCAGCTGTGCAGACCAGTGTGGGACACCAGACAATATTACTACCATATTGCTTTTCAAGCTGTTTTCACTTCAGCAGCATGCTAAATAATTCACATGTTTTTTCTGTTGTCCAGCAGATGAATGTTCAGTGGTATGCATGGAGGGTTTGCTCTGGGCCACATAGATGTTGACCTCAGCATTATATGGTGCATCAGGCACGTAAAGACTGCTTTTAAGAAGATACATCTACATCATATCACTTAATTACCTTGTTGCCATTGAACATAAAACACACTTATGACGGTATGGCTTTGAAGTTTCTTTATTTCACCACCAGTAAAATGCTTACATTGGAAATACATGGAACCTTCTGCTATCTATGATGCAAAATTACATCTATATATATATATATATATATATCTTCCAGTGAGCCCAAACTGTGGCTAGCTTAATATGTATGTTGTTCAAAATTCTTAATACATTTCCACTCTAGCTGCACATTATACAACACATAAATAAGCAAAAGTTCCATTTAAAACAAGCATTTCATTATGAGTAGTTGAAATGACAGGAAAAGCCTTGGAGCTATGAACATCTTGAACTCCTATATAGTTTTGTATTGCATATTCTCTTCAAACTGAAAATCTTACATGTAAATCAGGAAGATGTATTCTTGAGAGGTGGATGTGTGTGCAAGAAACAAAATGCTTGTGAAATGGTTTGTGAATGCGTTTAATTGCCATCCTGCTGTGAGGGTGACTGCCTTAAACTACTCTATAAAAGACTTCAAATCAAATCAAATGGAATTAATTGGTCTTTGTGTGTCACAATCACACGGCAAGATACCATAATGGATAAGATGGCGTAGATGGTAAAATTTCTTTTTGATGTTAAAGACAGCTGTAATTTCATGGTCCAGTCTGATTTCAAATTGATGTTTTGGCACAATATTAAAGTTGCATACTTACAGCTTCTCACATACCTGCTTTAAAAAAGGAATGCTTTGAAGTGTTGGTTGTGTCCCATTAGAAATGGCAGAGAGGGACATTGCTCTGTAATTCACTGCAGCACTGTGTATGGATTACATTCATCTGCGCGACAGCTCTAATAGCCTTATGTTGTTGCACTGTGAGCGAGAAAGTGATTGAGAGAACCGTGCGACTGGGACACAGGGAGCACCCATAGGCCAGCACGTCTAGAGAGCAGAAGAAATCCAATTTCCTGTCTGTGTCCCTTTTCAACAGGACAACGCCTGTTGGACCATGCATAAGTTACAGAGCTTTTACCCAGACAAATGTGGCAATGGACAGGGAATAAGGCCAGACAAATGGCAAGAGTGAATATAGCTGTATACAAAGTGGCATCTGGACGTAACACAACATCATTTCTGGCTTGTATGAAGCTTGAGACATGGACTATAGGTAAAATAAACAGTTTTGCATTCAGAGACTCTTGCCTCTTCCAAAAGGATGCTAGATAATCTGCATGGTAAAAATAAAAACAAAACTAATCCATCAGAATCAGTCCGGACAAAAAATATAAATATACACTAGGCTTCAGTGTTTGATGACAGCTATTTTTTAAAGCACGCAAACTATTATTGCATTTCAAAGTTTTTAAAGCCGCTCGGGTTCTCTGTGATTTGATTTACTTTCTTCACCTCAAAGCAAAGTAACAGGGTAACAGAAATCGGAGGAGACAGGTCCCAGAAAGAGGAAAACAAACAGATAAATACAAACTCCCCTGAACCCACGGCACCAAAATACACAGCGGTAAAGCAAGCAGACCCTAAAGCATTAGCTATAAATTGTCTTCTTCTTATTCATATTCATCTCACCATCTCCCCTTGTGCATATTAAGCCATTAGATATGATCAATTAATATGCACTTTTAAAAGATAATGAATCCTGTGAGACGGGCCTAATCACATTTTTGGATCTCTACATTGCTTCTTACACACAACTAAATTAACCATAGCTTGTAATGTCCATCATATTAGTTCAGTTAGGGAGAGAATTACACCTCTGCAAAATGTGCTCTAAACTATAATAAACGATAAACTTTATTTATATAGCACTTTCCTTAACAAGGTTACAAAGTGCTATACAGACTAAACAAGAGGTAAAAACAAGTGGCAAAAATAAAGACAAAAGGATCCTAAAACACAAAACAATGAAGTAATAAAAAAATGTTAAAAATGTGAAAAGGCAAGTGATTAAACCTGGCAACATTACATTTTCATAACCACTTTTCCATAAAAGAGAGGAAGTAAGAAAGGAATTTAAAAGATGATAATGTTTAAGCTTGCCAAATTTCAATAGGTAGAGCGTTCCACACTCTGGGGGATCTAACACATCAGTTTCAATCTAAAAGCACCAGGACTGAGCAGTCCCCTCTACCTGCTGTGCATCATCATCATTTTGTTTAAAACACATTGAAAAATTACCCTCATTCACAATGGTGGCGAGGTACAAACGAATAAGAGCAGATAAACTAAAAAAATCAGAGAAGCTAGGACAAGAATTCATGTTGAAAATAAGGTGAAAATGTAACAAAGGTAAAAGTGCAACTATCAGTTAATTAAAAGTAGGTCATTAGAGCCCTTCGCAAGGGCCCTCTCTGTGCTGCCGAGCTCTGAAGCCCAACTAGAAAGTATTAAAAATGTTATTATTGTTCATAAAAGTGATTAATTGAGTTGAAATTACTTTCTCCCTTGGATAGAAATGATCATTTAGAAATCGGTGGGTAATTACTGAGTAACAGGATATTCAGATTAGGTTTTTCAGAAGTGGTTGAATAACTGTAATTTATTTTTATTTTTATGTAAGTGCTCTCATATGTTTACTATAACTCACTCAGGCACACTTCAGTCCACCTGGAGAGTCCGAAGAGGTTGACGAACAGCTTGTGTAGGAGTGCAGCAGCAATTATACAGTGCTAATAATGAGTTACTGTTGGGCTTTTGTATATTAATGAATGGAGTAAATTCAGTGCCTAAGTGGTTGGTTAATATGCATTGCTTCTGACAAGAGGCAGAGGGGTGTCACTGGTCCCTGCAGGGGCCAAAGGTTAAAACAAATGAGAGAGAAGGGAGATAGCTGGGAGATGGAAAAGAAAACTGCCACTATGCCTCTGTTTGTGGTCAGTTAGTGTAATGATAGATAACAGACATAAAGGGAGAAAGGTAAAGAGACTGATATTACCAAAATCTTTGCAGAGGCTTTGACTAGAATGTGACTCCACTCTTTAAATTTATACCCAATCCATGAAGTTTGAACGAACACTTATCTACTTTAAAATGTGTCCTCAATGGGTTCACAATGCTAATTTACCGTGGCTTCCTTTTTTACCTTACAGACTGTGGTACCACCCGTTCTTTCTTGCTTCATACCTCATCTCATTTAGAAGTCTTTGTATTAGGTCTGCCCCATTCTTGCCAACCAACCACCACCCCCACCATACTCTCATACAAAATGAAATCATACAGTGCTCAGATAGACACTGCCACAGTCGAAAAATGACAGAATGGAGTGCAACTCACTTCGAATGCCAAAATGCTTTCTACCATTTCTCTATTCTTGAGAGTTGTGTTGACAGAAACTACTGTCCCTCAAAGTACCGTACAATGCACAATGGTGCTTTAAATAAATGCTAAGGCCAGCATGCTGACATACTCCCAATGATAATGCTAACGCGCTGATGTTAAACAGGCATAATGTTTACCATGTTAATTCTTTTGAATTAAGTGTTTTAGCATGCTAACATTTGCTAATTATTAGCAGCACAAAGTAGCTCTGGATGTTGGGAATGGTATTTGTTCAGCTGTTGAGATATAAACTGGATTTGGGTGCCGGAATGTTAGTTGGATATAAGATTAGTATAAAATAGCAGCAGATTATGTCCATTTAAATTTGTCATGCTTAAATTGACATCCATCTTCGTTTTTTAACCAGCCATGTTTTCCAAACCTTTGTCACCAGAAAATCTCAGTTCGGCCGTGCTTACAGAAATCCCTTTTGCTTTTAAAAAGTGCATTTAGACATGGTTCTTCTTTTCCTGCAACCTCTGAACAAACACTGTGCTTGTTTAAAGATGAAAAAAACAATCACACTGCACTCATCAGTCTCATTAGACATCTTTGTTTTGTCTCAAGGGAATTACTCTTCAAGGCTTTTTAAATGCATGAAGTGGATTCATTACGAGGATGTTTTTCCATTTGTTGGCCTCCTCTCTGTCCTCTGGCCTTTCGGGGACTCCTGCTGCCTCTTGGGGAGCATCCTTCAGTGGTTATTAGCGCACCTAGCATTCATTGTATCACCCTGCCGCTGCACGTATATTGGCTCAGTTAATTATGCCAATTTTACATGCGTGTGAGTGACACCTACTTGCTGTCCCCACTCATGTATTATGCATATCACCAAAGCATTTTTACTAGTATAATCCTCAAGATGTTTATTCACTGTGTGTGCAAACATATTGTTTGTATGCAGTATGGAAATAAAACATGCACATTTACTGCTACAATTAACCATTTTTCCTTTCAAATTCAAATGCACTTGCAGTTGCTTCGTTTTATTTGCAAATCTCTTCATATTTTTGTTACAATTCTAAAACAGCCTACAGAATATTGTATACAGTTACTTTTCTGTCTTAATTACCACCTATATTGCCATAAAAGTCCTACACTCAGAAAAATGTACACACAAGAAATCAACAATGCCTAATAACAAAAAAAAAACTAGTTTCTAACTGAAGCAGCAGATACAGTCTGAGACATATACAACTATTTTTAAGCTTTTGTCTTTACTGTTTCTATGGTTTCCTCCAGTCCAAAGACAAACAAATTAGGGGGATTGTACTGTAGATTTCAAAATGGTCTACCTTGAAACTGGGACTGTGGGTGAATAAATGTGTTCACCCTCTCAGGGTTGGGTGACCTGTCCACAGCTTTCCTCTCAAAGCATGCTTGGATAAGTTCCAGCCCTCATTACTCTGAATGAATAATGATAACATGTAGCAATAAACTAGAGTCCCTGCTGGATTCCTCACAAGGAATGGAATTTGGGAGATGAATTTGATTAACAATACTGAACAAGAGAAGAAACAAAGAAAACCATAATAAGCAATGCATTGATATGTATTTATGTCTTTGTTATAGAATTTCAGTTAATCGGTGGATCAACTCAAGCTAAACCGTAAGACGGGGGACCAGGTGTTTTGGAGAGAGGGGATTGTGTTATGTAAAACTGCTGTGAGTTTTCAGAAGTTGAAATGTTCAGTCAGCACACTGAGTCACTGTTTCATGGATAATTTAGTTCTGTCTATCCAAATGACTAATGTAATCATCTTAGCTTTGGTTTAAGCTATTAAAATGAATGGTGTGAGCTGCCGTGTGATTGGAAATGCGCGGAGGTCGTCCAGAAGTGAGATGGATGGGCATTGAGGGATGCTGAGGCTGAGGATCTCAAATGGCTTGTTCATGACCTCCGGGCAGAAGGACTGGACTGATGAACTGAGCCAGAAAGAGTGTTGTTTTATGTTAAACCCACGTGGCACAGTTTGTGGGTGGTGATGATGAGTAGGGATTTTATATACCACGGGGTGTCAATTAATTCTTTAGCATATTTCATATTTTCCCTGCTCTTCATATGGATGTATTTAACTAGCTGAATTCATTAACTTGATTATTCCAGACCTTGGTGGAATCAGTTTCCAAAGGGCTATTAACAACTGGTCCACTTTAAAGTTTAAGCGATTTAACAGAATCCACTGGCCATCATTCTTGCAACCTAAACCACCATAAGGTCTCCAGTAGGTGAGGTTGTATCAGCACCAAAGGGGCCCATACAGTCAGCATTATGAGTTTTCCATATGGGTTCCATTTGATTAATGTCAGATGTATCTTGTTCTAGGCCGGCCAACTGTACAGATGTCATTTAGAGATGTTGGTGTACTGTTTTTATCCACTTTTACTGTTTTGGCTCCGTGGAGGGTCTGACATTTTTGGTTTTAAGTGAAATAAAATTATTGGATGCTTTATACAAATTCAAGGTCCCTGGAGGATAAATCATAATTCATTGTCATCAGATCAAAATTAAAATGTTGCAAAACCTTGGTTTATGAACAAATACCTGCAATACAAATAGAAATGTTTACATGTATCCTCCCAGAAGCATAATTCCTGGATTTCTGGAGCCCCCACTTTTTCAAGCCTATGTCCATGAGTTGCCCATGTTGCCCACATTTTACCCACATGAGCTACATGAATGTGTTGGCTGGGGAGAAACAACAAGAAAATCTACAGTACACCATACATACCTTTCTGGACTTTAGCCAAAACCCCATATTAGATTCAGTCCTGCTAATGTGTTATCAGATATCAGAGTCAATTTTAAAGTAGAATGCAATCAAGCAAAGTACATTACATCCATCATTTTCAGTTAATTCCATAACCATTTAAAAAAAATAAAAAACCAATATCAGCCTATACCAGCCATCCAATATTTTGGTCTAAATTGCCTAATGGAAAACGCTGAGTTCTTAATAGAGCCAGCTCCTTCTCCCTGACAGCAGGACAGCTACTGAGACGACTTTCTCTGCCATTTCTTCCCATCATCCTTCCTCTCTCTCTCTCTACAGGCTACACACGTGTCCTGGTGTCCTTAGTGTTCTTGGCCAGTTTGTGGGTTGAGTGACAAATGGGCAGCTGATGGGTGCTGATGGGTGCTGTTTGGCCCGCTGCAGCAGTAAACTAATGACCCTGTCTCAGCACCACCTTTTACGGCTCCATCACACAACCTTTAATTCATACAATTAGACCTCCGCTGTTTCTCTTTCACTAACCACCATCGTCTAAGACACAGACCCCCTTCAGCACAACATGGCCAGCAGCTAGGTTACATTCATTTATCATACAGGGCTTTAGCTTTCACTGTGACCTCAGGCTCCCAGGTCTCCTGTGCAGAGGAGCTGCTGGATAATATTAATATTGTGAATCAACTATGTATTCATGTATCAGCTTTATACTAATCTTGACATGTGGTGTGCTTTGGGACTAACATACTCTTCTCTCTTATCTTGGTTAGGCAGTGTTTGCATAGAAACATCATTAAGAACCTAATTTTGTACTGTGTATTGGTTCAGGGATGCACACTGATGCTACATAAAGCAGTATGCAAGAGTATACACATTACTAAATAATTCTCCTTCAGTGTGTGGGTTGTGCTTAGTACAGCTGTGTGGATCTGGTGGTCTGTTTGCTTTCGCCTGCTCTCAGGCACCTTTTACGCACAGTGATTTAGCATGGAGGTATTTGCCTAACAGACTGTTATATCCCCCATTGGGTTTACCTGTGAGTGGGTGGCAGTGGACAAGCTGCAAATCTCCCATCTATTTTCTTCATCATGGTTTTCTGTCAGGAATGTTTTGTTATCACACTGCAGTTGTCCACTCCATTGTTGATTGTATTTTTTGCTCTGTCACCTGTTGCACACTGAATGCTGTATATAATGTTCAATTTTGACCTGCCTTCTTTGTTTTTCTTTTTGTCTGACCACTTCTCTGCCTGCTAGTTGCATTCTCCGGTCTTGGCTTCACCTCCTTCTACCTGGCAGGAAAGCTGCAGTGTTTTACGGATCAGGGTCGAGGGCGTAGCTGGCGCCTCTGTGCCATGGTGCTGCCTCTCTACAGCGCTATGATGATTGCATTGTCCCGGACCTGCGACTACAAACACCACTGGCAAGGTCCAACTAACAGCTCAGACACAGGACACATGAAAATTAATTTCCTGCATCAATCAAAATTGCTGTCAAATAAATGTTGTGACATCCTAACTTACATCAAATTTGCTTGTGTCAGCCTGAGAAGGATTGCTGTGCAGAAGTCTGTTTCAATCACACCTGCCTCAAGGCAGGTTTATAATTATTATACAGATCATTTATGAGGCAAACTCGGGGTAATGATTATTTCAAACAGCTGTACTGCTGTAATCACATTTTTAACTTAATCAGCATCACTGACAAATCAAGTCTAAAAAACATAAGAATGTACAGAAAATCAGGCTGAGCAGCTTACTTATTTGCCTAACGGACTGAAAATTTTGTCTTATAAGGCTGTTTTCTGTCAGCTATAGCATAATGCCTCCGGTGACAGTGAGCTAGCATTTAATTCAGCAGCCTGGAAAGAAAATTATAATTACAAGCTTCAGTTTTTCATATCTGTTCTAAAAGAACTGGATGGAGACTTGGAGGGACAGAAGGGAGGGAATGCATATGTGGGAGGGGTGTGGGAGTGAATATGTGGTAATATGTTGACAGCTCTGTCATATGGTGTTAATTAGTTTTAGAGAGCCATATGTTCCTGGGGAGTAGGGCAACTAAAAACAGACAAGTCTTTTAACAACCAGGATTTATTTACATCAAAAGTACAACATACAGTGGTTACAGGCAAGCTGGCTACTTTATAATAGTATTTCTTAGCTCTACACACCTTTTTTCTCATCCCTCTCCCCAGCAGACTATGAGTAAGCAGCAATGGTGCAGCCCATTAAACTTGAGGGGCCCCAAACTGCACTCAGTGTAAACACAAGCTGGGAGCCCCCATTAGCCTGGCTGCTGAGCCATGTTTGATGGATACTTATATTCCTCACCATCCCTTTGCACTTTGGAGGTGCGCTCTGTCCTCGAGGAGGAAAGGCTGGGCATCCAATCACTGTCTCAATGAGGCCACCAAACTAATATATTGCATCAAGTCACAGTCTATTAAATTCAGTTGACAGGAGTTGATGAAACATTCACAGAGTAAGCTCATGCATTGTGTAGTTTCTGAATGGTCAAAATCGATGTTGTATTATATTTCATCTCGCCCAGAAGGAGAAAATAAAGAGAATTTGGTGAGACCTATGGAGAAATATAATTTTGATATTATGGAAACCTCTACCTCAACTGCTCTAGCCACCAGCTGGCCATGTCATTTTGATCTATACCCGGCAATATAGGCTTAATAATCACCATGGCAGTGTGATATTGTATGATGTATTATAGCTTAAAGGGGACCAGGTATAATACGAAACTGCTCAGCATAGATGACAAAGTGACAGAGACAGCCTGTCCAGAGGCAAGTGAGCCCAGTGCTCAGTAGAACAGATTCATCGCTTTGCCTTTCAGTTTACTTTCATCACCCTCTAAACTAGCCAGGCATGATGAATGCTCACTGCAACACTATTGCACATACAGTGATGCCTAATTAATTGTGCTGATTGTAAGAACAGGTGTTATTTTTCTTCCTCCACATAGGTTAAAATTAACTAAGATGCATACCTTAAAATATATGTGTTTTTGTGACGTTGCAGACGCCTTTGTTGGAGGAGTGATCGGGTTGCTCTTTGCGTACATCTGCTACCGCCAGCACTACCCACCATTTCTGCACATGGACTGCCACCTGCCTTATGCCAGTCTGGCTGCTGCCGCCCACGCGCCCTCGCATCCAGAGGACGACCCGCAGCCCACTGACAATGCCACCACCCTTCCCCTGGAGGGCTTGACTGAAGGGCCAGTATGACTAGTGGCCACCACCGAGACTCCCCCCAACACCCTTACCAAGCCACCAAGCCAACCTCATTCCCAGTGACTGACTGCCACTTGTAAACATTCCAGTGGACAGAAATACACCTCGCCCATCTCCATACTTGTAGACCTCGTCTCGGTGACACCTACATTCTTTTGTGTTTGTTTGTTTTTTTCTATATCTGGTTCTTGCTCAGCAGCCGTGAAAGTCTATATTTAGATGTGATGTATGAGAGGAACCTATGAATATGGGACATCACCGCTGAGAGGGAAGAGAGAAAACATGTTCAAATCCTGAAAAAAACAAGTCTTACTAATGGGTGTGAAGAAAGATGAAAATATTGCCAGTTTTTGATGGAATTTTTTGCTTAATGACAAATGTGGTTGGCAGGTTGTTTTAGGGCTGCAGTGTATTTAATGATTGGGACAGCCAGCTGGGGGAGACCCACGAGAAATCCGATGAAATGTCACAGCAATCAAACCATTAAATCATACCAGTAAACTATTAGAATATTGTAGGTTATATGTCATTTGTTACTATGAATTATGGGATTTGATAGCAGCTAGTGCCAGATGTCCAACAGCTTTCTGTCTGTTACAGTTTTCAGATTCAGAAGGCACCAATTTGTTGGTTAAAAAAACTCAAGGACTTGGGGCACAGCTCTCAATTCATACCTCCTCACTTTTAATAATTTCTGGTTGTCCATAGGATACACTCTTGGAGAAAAAGCACTGATCCATGCCAATAAAATGACAATATTCAGTGTTCCCCAAACTCTTCCACATTCACCCGATTTTTATTATTCCATTTCTCCCTATTCTCTTGGGCTTGTCTAATTTTCCAGTGCAATCCTGCATATCAGCCTTTCCCCATTCCTCTTCCTCTCCCTGTCACCATCCAACTTTATTTTTCACAAGCCCTGCATTTAACACGTTCCCACGAGGTTGCACAGGGACACGAACCCAAACTGTAGCTCAATGAGTGCAATCAATAACGGGCAGGTGGGAATGGCGTGGTGGAAGTGTGTCTGGACAGGCACAAACTCTAATCTGATCCTGCATTAATCCTCATTAAGGGAGGTCAGCCACTGCTGCTTATGAGCACATTAGGACTATATGAGGTGCCCCACGGACTGCCCAAGCATTGAAAAATGGCTTTCAGCCCACTGCGGTCCCACAAATAGACAATCTAGCATTCAGAAGATGACAGGCCTAAACTCTGGACAGCGATTTTGATGTATTATTCATCCATTAAGGTTCCATTAAATATGAATATTTCCAGACTTAATTTAGAGAAAGCATGTTCAAACAAAGAGTACACCAAAGTTTGTAGCTTTTTTTCTGCTTGGGTTGTATGCACACTGTTATGCTTTATTAACAGAGATGACACATAGCCAGATTACAGCGTCCCTAACATCAACAAAGCAATTTGTAGCCCCTTACAAGTTTTGTTAGAAATTATGTATAATTTTGTTGCCTCGGTTACTGTGTCTTTTTTGCCATTGCTGTGACATTAATGGGAAGGTGCAATCTCAGTTTACCTCTTACCCAACACAGCTACATAGAAAGGCATGGTTTGCACAGAAAGGGGTGAAAAAACAAGAGACAGCACATCAAAACAGAGTGACATAAAATGAACAGCAAGCCAAATGTACAAGGTTATTTTGTAATTGTATTATCTTGTCAGAATGTTAGTTAAGCCTATTTGTGAATTTGTCCGTCTCCACTTACAAAAGACTACACGTTTCTGTGTAGAAAGTGACGGTTGAAACATCTGCACCTTCAACTGCTGTTTGCTTAATTATGGACACAATTTGGCCTCTTACACAGGAATAGACAAAGGAACTTTCTCTCTGTTTAAAATGATTTTAAACATCATTTCCTGAAATGAGCCACAATTCCATGACTAATGCAACCCATTG